TCCTCTATTCAAGCTTGGTTGCCCGCCACTTGCAGGAGCTGGCAGCGAGTGGCAAGCTGTCAGTTGGGACCCATACACGCACGCAATAACGGACAACATGGTGTCCGTCATGCGAAGGCGACTGCGCAACAGCCTGCACTGGTGGCTCTCTTGGTGCAACAGCAACTTCATCCTTTCCATCATTGCCAGAGGGTATTGGTTACCATGGAAGGGCGAGGAGCCCATCCCTTTCAAGGCCCCCAATCACGCAGGAGTGCAAGCACATATGACCTTCACCGAAGGTGTTGTCTGCGACCTTATCACTCCGGGTGCCGCACTCAAAGTCTTGTCAAAGGCCACATTGGCATGCATCAGCCCGCTCAATGTAGTGGAGCAACGGGACAAATGCCGTCTCATACTTGACCTACGGAAGGTCAACTCCCACCTTCAAGTGCCCAAGTTTAAGTACGAAGGCTTAGCCCGGGTTGCAGAAATTATCCGCCCAAACGACTGGCTATTTACAATTGATTTGAAGTCAGGCTACCACCATGTTGACATTCACCCATCCTGCTGGAAGTTCTTGGGTTTTCAATTTGAGGGAGAATTCTACTGCTTCACCTCCCTGCCTTTCGGCCTGGCGACAGCACCGTTTGTCTTCACCCAGATAATTAAGCAACTAGCTAAGAGATGGCGCGCGCGCAGAGTTCGCGTGATCCCATATGTGGACGACTTACTTTTCCTCTGCAACTCCGAGATCCAAGCACGTTCAACGTGCACGGAAGTCCTCCGAGACTTGAAGGCGGCGGGCTTCGTGATCAACGCCAAGAAATCACACCTGCATCCCACGCACCAATTGCGCTTCTTAGGGATGGAGCTCGATACTGTACGAGGGATGTTTCTCGTCGGGGAAGATCGGCGTGAGCAACTAATGCGTGAGATTCATTGGCTCATTACAAAAAGCCAGTCAGACCGACAATTGCCGATCCGCCAGATAGCTCGGATCACTGGATTCCTCAGCTCCATGTCGCTCGCGCTAGGCACGATGGTACGTGCCTTTAGTCACGAGTTGTTGTGCTTGATCGACTCCGCGTGGTCATCGAACTCGAAGGTCCCGTTGTCACTGGGAGCGACGGAGGCGTTGCTCTTCTGGACGGAGCACTTCGATCACTTCAATGGGGCTCCATTCCATCAAAGCCACCGGTTTGATGCCGTCATCCACGTCGACGCGAGCGCACACAGCTGGGGTGCCACCCTGACAAAGTTTCCAAGCACGTCATGTGAAGCCAGCGCATGCATGCCAAGCGAGCTTCTCACTACATCCAGCACGTGGCGGGAGCTCGAGGGAATGCTCTGGGTGCTGCGGACATTTGCAACCCAGATCGCAGATGCTCACGTTCTGGTCCGGGTGGACAACCAGGCGGTCATGTTCATATTGCGCAAGGGGGGATCTCGCCACTCAGAACCGGCATTGACGTGCCAAGCAATCATCCAGTTCTGCCTTGGCAACGCCACACGCCTCGCAATTGAATGGATTCCAAGAGAGCTCAATGCCCACGCGGACGAACTGTCCAAGTTGCAAGACCACGATGACTACTCCTTACATGCACCATGGTTTCGCCTCTTGGAGCGCCGCTGGGGTCCCCACACAATTGACCTCTTTGCAAACGCTCGTAACAACCAGGTCCAGCGCTTCTGTTCCAAGCTACCACACCCCAGCGCGTTCGTCATAGATGCATTTTCCGTCTCTTGGAAGGGCGAACGATGCTTTGCTTTTCCACCACCACACCTGATCTCAGCCACACTACGCGGAGCGCACGCAAGCGGAACTCACGCTGATAGTACCCCAATGGACCGAAGCGTCATGGTGGCCTCTCCTCCAGCCGTCCACACAATCGTGGGCTCCTGCGGTGGTAGCGCACATTCCCCTTGCTCAAGGCAGTCAATGCCTTCGGCCAGGTTCACACACCTCTGCATTTTCTGGACTCGGATTGCCTCATAGCCCAATCATTGCTTTGCATGTAAAGTATACGATCTAATAAAACTATCAATGTGTGATTTCAGGACTTTTGGCTCAGCTCCAGCAACAATTGCTGAACGTTATTAGCCATGTTCGTGCACCATCCACACTCGAGACATACCAGCCTTATTGGCAGAAATTTCGCACATTCTGTACTCAAGTCAAGCTCGAGTTTCTGCCGGCAACCGACTTGTCGCTAGCACTCTATCTCATTCATGCGCTCAACAACAAGGCCACTTTCTCGGCAATCAACCTGACGTGTTCGGCAGTGGCCTCGCACATCGCATGACAGGCGAAGTTTCTCCGACGGTCGGCCCATTTACCCTGCAAGTACGGGAGTTTGCCAAAAGGCATGGCCCCCGTCCTGCCCGAACCAAAGAACCTATCTCTCTCCATCAAGTACAGGACATGGCTCGCCCCTACCTCGAGTCGTCGATTCCGGCAGAATACCAGAAGGGCTTGATACCCCTCCTCATGTTTTCAGCGTTTCTGCGCTACTCCGACCTCGTCTCGCTTCAATGGAACGACGTACAGTTCGAGGAGGAGGCAATGTGGCTGCTCATCCCACACTCCAAGACGGATCAGGAGGGGAAGGGTGTATGGATCCCAGTGGCGGCAATCTCGGGCCCATTCTGCCCAGTGTGGTGCACACACAACTTCATACGCATTGCAGGCCTCACAAGGCTGCCACATGGACCTCTAATCCGAGTTTTTCAGACAGATGCGCAAGCCACGCCAGATGACAACTCACCATCCTACACCACGATCAGAAATTGGTGTCTCGACGCCGGTAGGAAGGCCGGACTTGACGTCACGCATATTGGAACCCACTCATTTTGCAAAGGTGCAGCCACCGCGGCGGCAAGCCTCGGAGTCCCTGATCGGATCTTCAAGCGCATGGGCCGATGGAAAGGAAATGTACGTCACGATTGCGCAGGACCAGCTTATCTCTCTCTCCACGCAGCCGCAGGATTCCTCAACAGCCCCATCACCCGCCATTCATTAGTTCTCCATCGAGCGGCACCGCCAGCCCCGACTGCACCTGCCTCAGAAGACCCATATGAAATGAAGCACACTACCTTTGCAAGTTGGCCTAAGGACACTTTCACAATATTATAATTTTTTAAAGTGTAACTCTTTCTCAAATTTTGTATTGTGAATGGGGGTTCGTGGCCAACACAGCAAAGGTGGCGCCGAAGCGCTACTCACCCTCTTTTGCCTACAAAAGAGGGTCGTGAGGTCATTCGCCCTCACCCACGTTTTTCATTTCTAGTTGTAATTTCAATTTGCCCCCCCTCCCACCCAATTGTGACGCTGTGATGTATTGATAAATAGGACGAGAACGATGTACTACACCCATATGAAATGAAGCACGCTACCTTTGCAAGTTGGCCTAAGGACACTTTCAGAATTTACACTTAGCTTGTTTTCAATGTTGTTTTGTCCTTTAATTAGTTTCATAAGTAAAAACAACTTAGCACACAAAACAGAACTAGCCACCCCCACTGAGCGTGGGCGTGGCTTTGTGTCACACCACGCAGGCAAAACAACCAATAAGGCGACACCGCGTGCCACCGACAACATTACACGGTTTTCCGCCTGTGGTCCGAAGCGACAACGGTGGCAGTGTGAGAGTGGTACAGTTTGTCAGCACGCGAAGTGTGGCCTGGTCCGCGCTGAAAAAGTTTCGGTATCAGGGTAGTGTACACACAACCCTGATACCGTATCACCCCGGATATAAGCGCAGGCCTATGTTAAGCGCATGCGCTTATATCTGGAGCAATGCGCTTATGGCCGATCCTCAATTATAAGCGCACCCCTTATAAAACCCTGATTTATTATAAGCGCATGTATAAACATATTAAAAAAAAAAAACCGGATTAAAACAGTAACGACTTCCCGGTTTGAAGCGAGTCCACATCCACTTCTACTCTGTTCGACTCCCTCGAGGGCGGGCTCGCTCAGGAAAAGCGCAACGGCGCGAAGTTGACCTGACAGGGGGGCTCGGGAACACCTGTTGTCTGTGCGCTGCGAGCGAGCGACTGCAGGCTATTGGTCGTACACTGGGGCAAGCCTGTGCGATGCGAACGAGCGACTGCAAGCTATTGGTTCGTACACTCTGCTGGGGCGAGCATGACACATTCCTAAGCGAAAGTGACGTGTCCTTGCCCTTGTGCGCCGGCAGAGAATCGCCCTCGCGCGATTCTGATTCAGAACGCTCCACACATTTCGATTTGAATGAAATTGCAAGACTCTAATGCACAGATTGGTTTATAACATATTTCTGTGTTTGTTATGTGTTTGTTATTATATAAGCGCATGCGCTTATAATTTTGACTCATTTATAAGCGCACCCCCCTAAAAAACATTGTTTTATTATAAGCGCAGATGCGCTTATATCCGGGGTATTACGGTACCATGTACACTACCCTGATACCGTCAGGGTAACAGTAAATCCTATCAGTGTAACTCTTTTTGCGTAAGGGTAACTTTCTTTGATTCCTGATTTTGACAAGGTAATCCTGAAAAAGCGGCCGGCCCCCAGGGTAATCAGGGCATTTTACCCTGATATTTTTGGCCCTGGTCGCAATACTCTTTACAGGACTAATCTCTTAGAATATCCTAAGCGTTTTTCTCAACCCAACACTCCCTAGCAATGATCTCGATACAGATGGCTGTGACCGCGTGACGATCTGCTGTGATCGCATGATGGTGGATACATAGAGGAGGTGCAGGTGTATCATGTCGCACGCAGGCAAATTGAAATAGCCAAGTGAGAGGTGGTGCCATTGCACTGCATGTAGACTTGTTGCATGCCACCGTTGCGTTATGCACCTGCTGCTTTCTGGAAGCATTCCTCTTCCTTGTGCTGCTTCAGCTCAAATCCATCACAAGCCCAACACCTCCCATCCTCTCCCCTGTCCTTCCCTTAGCCCCTGGCAGGTGGTGGTCTGCTATGGCTGCTGCAGCAAAGTTATGTGCCAACCCGCACAAGTGCTTTCCCATGCACCTGCCAGTAGACTTCTACGAACTCAACATCCCCCACCCCACGCCTCCCCCCTGCCGCTCCTGTCAAACTGCGTCATCCCCTGCGAGCAGTCAGCACACCGTCCTCCCTGCTGCTGGCACTGCTGCGCGTGTGGACGACACCCTGCGGCCTGTGCAAGAGGGTGCTCACGCTCACTACAGGGCATGAGACTGCAGGGAATAAAGGACGAGGTGGTGGTGCAGCGGTGCGTGGTGGGCGAGTATCAGTGGCTGCTGCAGGCGCTGCCGAGCACGGTGCAGCAGGACAAGGTGCTGCTCACACAGGGGGCGGGGCGAGTGGGCTCAGGGACAATGGAGGGCGGAGGAGTGCAAGGGAAGGAGCGTGCGACTGGAGCTGGTCGTGATGGCGGTGGTTGGATGGGGCTGGACGGAGGATACAGAAGGCGGATTGTGGTGCGCCTGGGGAAGGGAGGAGGACAGCAGTAGATGAGTAGATGAGGCATCGCTCCGCTGCATGCTCAGTGTTGCGGCATAGGACGCGGTTCCACTGAGGTGGGCGCTTGCACAACCACGGCGAGACCATGCAGTCTCTACTCGGCTCCACCCCACGACGTTGCAAGAGAGGCTATGCACGTTGAGGGAAGCTGGCAGGAGAGAGGCCTCAAGTGAATGCACGCATTCGCATCACATTCCTTCACAAACCATAAGCGCAACAAACACAAGAGCGGAACGCGTGGGTGCAGGAGCATCACACGCAGGCGGCGAGGGCCCCGCCCCAGGCCGCACATGGTGCAGCCCGAAGCACATGGGTTGAGCGGCACAATGACCACTGTCAGCGCCACCCCGCACCACACCTTCCTCCCCGTCGCACTGGCCTCAGTGAGCGCCTTTCGGACCATGCTGCCATGGCCTTTTGTTCCCACCATGCACGCAGTCAAAGGTACAGTTTTCCGTGACCATGCCCGCACGCCTGCTGCCCACGTGGAACGAATCAGTGGCAACGACATTGCCTTCCTGCACTCCCTCGTGCCCGCGCCTGCAACCATCCCTACCACCTTCCCCCATACTCACGCCACCTCCACTTCCGCTGGCCCATTCCCCCCGCCATACCTAGTGGGTTGGCACATATGAAGCTCCTACACACCCCAAGTAGCACGGCACGGCGTACCAGGCCCCACGAGGCGATGGCGCGCCTAGATGCCACTCCAGGAGCCGCGCAAGGCTGCAATGGGCGTGGGCTGCTCAGGGTCGCAGGGGTCCGGCGCGGGCATGAAGATGTCGAGGGGGCGCAGGCCGTAGAGCGCGGCGGTGCGAGAGAAGCCGGAGGCGGGGATGATGAAGGAGTGGCACGCTGCTATCAGCGCCCACTCCGCCACCGTCTCGCGGAAGTGCTGCAGCCCTCTCAGCGCCGTGTCACGCTCGTCCGTGGATGCAAGGTGTGTGTGGCCGTGCTGCGTGGCTTGCGCGGAGTGCCATGGGATGAAGTCCGTGGCCACCACCTGACAGGGCCCAGCACCGCACATGTGCCCGCAGCCATGCATGGCGCACATGCAATGCACCACACACACAGGGGGGAGGTGCAGCATGAGGGAGCATGTAGTGTGAGGCAGGGCAAGAGAAAATGGGGAATGAGATGGGATGAATGGAAAGAGACAAAGGCGGAGAGGGCAGGGGAATGGAGTGGCCGGGTGCACACCTTGTGTGGGTACTTGGCTTTGAGCGCTTGCTTGAGCGGGTGCGAGTTGGTGATGATAATCCACTTGACCTTCAGGGGAGGCGGGTACCAGAAATCCTCCACTGTCTGTCATTGCCCATAAAGATGGGCGGAGAGGAAGTTGAGGCGGGGGGGATTGGAAGGCGATGGTGGCACACATGGATAACACGCTTAGTGGCAGACACACGTGCCATAAGTGGGATTGAGACGCACGCCCATCTCTACCCCCTGCTGCCACCAGCACCTTGCTTTCCCCTCCCCTCCCATCTGCACCCACTCACAGAGGTCTACCCATGCCCGCCCAACACAACATCCCATCCCCGTGGCATGCAAAAGCACACGCAAACAGCACGTGTTATTCAGTGCGCTCCCCCGTGGCACCTGGGTGCACTGCAGCGTGGTGTTGGCCGTGGCGAGCAGCTCCTCCACCTGCTGCTGCGACGCCTCCAGGGGCATGCCCTCGCTGTGCCACACCTCTCGGTCCGGCACACGCACGTGCACCGCCACGCGCACCACGCCCTCGCCCCACACCTGCTCCTCCATCCCCACCACCAGCTGCCACACCTCGGGCCGCGGACTGGAGCGAGGGGAGGAGGAGACATGGAGGGGAGCAGCGTGGGGGGTTGGGGAAGGGAAGGAGGGGATGAAGAGAGACGAAGGGAGAGGAAAGGATGACAGTGGGTGGACAGTGACGGACCGTGCCTCGATTGCCCAGCATGCACGGGGCGACTGAGGCATGGGGTGCAAGGCACAGCAGCATGGAGGTGAGTGTGCGGCGCGGGGCATGTGAGGCGGGCGGACCTGAAGAGGAACCGGAGGATGCACCCGAAGCCGTACGCCACCTTGAAGCCCAGCTGCCGCAGGGCGGTAGCCCACGGGCCCTGGTCGAGCAGCAGTGTGGAGATGAGCAGCCCATGGTTGTAGCGCATGCGGTAGTTGCGCAGTGCACTCAGCTGCTGCAGAGCCTCGATCTCAAAGCCCTGCCCCGCCATGTTCAAGCACGGCACGCCACTGCTGTTGCTCGCCGCGGCGCTCAGGTTGCCCTCCAGCTGCTCGCATGGCGGGGCGTGCCACTCCACGCGCTCATCACCCTCTTGCGCGTCCAAGGGCGTGGCGCGCAGCAGTGGGTGTCCCCCCATGGGCACGTCGGGGGAGAGCGCGGTGTCAATGTGCGGCGAGTGGAAGGCGGCGTGCATGCAGGGCTGTGCGATGAGCAGCGCACGGCGGTCCAGCAGCGCGGCGGGGAAGATGGACACCAGCCCGATCAGGTAGTCGCCCAGCCCGCCGCACGTGCCGTACCAGTCGTACGTCAGGAACCGCACCGCGGGCGCCTCCTCGCCGGGGGGAGAGTCGTCCGCCAGACGCCTGCGCTGCGCGGCCGGCTGTGGCGGCGGCGCGGAGGCGAGGGGCGGCACTGAATGTGATGCGGGCGCTGGTGCTGGTGCTGGCGAACACGAAGGCGCAAAAGAGGGGGCATCTGCAGAGGAGGAATGGGGAGCAGAGGGCGGAACAGTGTGTGTCATGTCCCATTGCACCCACCCGCCTGCGCCTCTGCACCCTGCCTCTCCCTTGCTCTCCGTCCATTCACGCGTGTATCCTCCGTTTCAGCGCTACTAATGGTCACCACTACATAAGACCGCGTCATCACGCGCTCCGCCCCCCGTCCGACGCTACTAGTACCTGGTGGCTTTCGCGCGCTCCACGCGTCTCGGCTGGCGGCTCTGATGCGCGCGTGCAGCCGCACGTACTCGTCGCGCCACGGCGCCCCGCACACGTGCTCCGGGTACTCGAACCCCGCCAGCATCGACCCAGGCTGCGCCGCTCCGCTCTGTGCCTGCGCCGCGCTGCACGCCTGCGCGCGGAAATGGGAAGAAATGGACGGGGCATGGTGAGTGAGGGGCGGGAGGGAGGGCACGGGACAAGCGTGGCGCTGTGACAGCCAACTGCGCGACGCTGAGGTGGGGATGGCGCGGCACAGGGGCAATGGGCACGGTGCGCAGGCACAAGGGAGGGAGAATGTGGAACTGCCCTTCCGCAAATAGCGGGGGCGGCATAGCTGCTTACAGCGAGGCATGCTACGAGGACGAAACTTAAGCAGCGAGCTATACGAGGAGGCGGAGAGCAGCGGGTGAGGCGGTGGCGACGAGTGTGGTGTGGGCGGCGCATGAGGAGTGGCTGTGACAAGGCGAAAGCGAATTTCCCGCCTGTGATATTGACAATGATCCCATCCGAGGTTATGAACGAGGGTGGTCGAATAAGGGGGGAATCACTTGTCGCACATTGTAAGATAAATCCCTTTTTACTTCACGCCCCTACTTATCGGATACATGACTCTTCCCGCCAAGAGTTCCCAACTGTTATGAATGAACTTGCAGAGTGCGCAAAATATCGAATAACGAGAATGAACTCAAAGAACTGACGATACAATGAAAGTGACGAGGCCTAAATAGGGGAAATGCTAGCCAGGCGGAGAGGTAGGGCGAAGATGGCTCGGTGATGGTTGCGATTGGAGCGGAGGCCGACTCGGGAGTGGTTCGGTGCGACGAAATAGGCAAGACAGGTTCGTCGCGTGATCCTCGGGATGGCCTCGCTAACGAGTGCCTCAGTAAGGATTTGTAAATCCTTACACCAACAGTGCACCGTTACCACTCGCGACACTCACCTCGACCACTGTTCCCGCCACTGTTCATGATGCGACCTAAACTCACGGTTCGGTTGGTAACCCACGCTCCGGACCTCCGCCTCGGCATTTCCCAACCTCGGTGCTGGGCCCGTAACGCAACCCAATTTCTCGCATTACCGTTACAACGCTAGCTTCGCTATATAATATTATCTCATTCCTTCGCTCAATGTACTGTTTTTGTTTTGATAGTGCAATTCTCGCTCGCTCGCTCAATTGCACTCATAACACTTGGTATCAAAGCCTACTATCCTTTTCTCGAACCCGCCCACACCTTCGCTTCCCCATTATCTCAATTTTTGGAGGGGGTAGACGTCTCTCAGCGACCACGCACCGCTGCCGGTGTGCTCTCTCATAAGTGCACTCAACCACGACTTAGGGTACATTCCTGAAGCGCGTCACAAAATCCTCGCGTCTCAAACCGCGCGAGATACACTGCGGTGGAAATGTTCGATTCTTAAGTGTAATGCGGTGCAGAACGATACATAGGTTTTGTGACGACATTGAGACACTTGTGTCGAAATAGGAATGTACCTTTAGGCTTTCGCTGAAGCTAGCCCGATGTGAGAATAATAACGAGGAATGAATGAACTAGCAAGCAGGTGGGTACAAGTATGAAAACCTAAAAGAGTTGTACCCCACCCCACTACAGCCTACAATATAGTTATGACACACCCCCATAGGCAAAGTGGGCGACAAGCAAGAGAACAAGGCAAGGTCAAGCTCAGGGTGGATCACAACGTCACCCCACCACACATTCTAAGTACCAGTTCAAGGCCACAAGGCCAGTTCACATGCAGAATTATAAAGCAAGGTGAACAAGCAAGACAGTGATCTCAACCTAGCAAGGGTAAACATGCAGGTGCAGGTATATATAGATCACAGTACAAACAAAGTCAAGAGGTAAGCAAGTGAGGCCCGGTAGGCACAAGACCTAGCATAGTACAGAAACGCTGATGATCACAAGGCTGAAGTGCCTTGGTAAAGATATCAGCAGTGTTGGCCCGAGAGGCCACGTAAGCAAGACGAAGCTGACCACGCTGCTGCAACTCTCGAGCAAGGAAGTAGCGCAGAGCAATGTGCTTCGATCTGTGCTCCAGTCTGTGCTCCTGACACAAGGCCAGCATGGCCTTGTTGTCGACGTACAGAACTGGAGAAGAACGAGGCGCCTCTCCCAAGTCGGTCAGCAAGTAGGTGATCCAGCGTAACTCCTGTGCAGCCATGGCCCCAGCGTAGATCTCAGCCTCACAACTGGAGCCGAGAACAGAAGACGAGCGGGTAGACCCCCACAAAACAGAGCCGGAACCAAGGCTGAAGGTGTAACCCTGTGACGACCGCTGCGTAGCCAAGTCGTCAACCCAAGAAGCGTCTGCGTGACCAGTGAGGACAACTCGAGCCCGTCCTCCAAGCACGAGCCCCATGCCCCGTACTGCACAGGTAGCGCAACACCCTCTTAGCTGCAGCCATGTGCTCTGGTCGGTGTCTCCCAGGAGCAACATAGCATGCCAAGATGCTAAGAGGGTATGCCAAGTCAGGTCGAATGCAGGTCATCAGGTACATGAGGCAGCCAACAAGCTCTGGGTACGAGCCACTCGGCTCTAAGGCCTCATCTGAAGGCATAGCTGAGAGCGAGTGGCGAGTAGACAGAGGAGTGGCCTGAGGCGAGGAGTACGTGAAGCCGAAGCGCTGAACGACCTGCTGCACCATGTGTGACTGAGTCAAGGTAATGGTGCGCCGTGCTCTGTCCCGGGTGATCTGCAAGGCAAGATAGCTGCGCAGTTCACCCAGGTCTGTGCACGTGTGTCTCTTATGCAGCTCCGACTTCACGTGGGCGAGTCCCTCAGTGTGAGCAGTGGCAAAAACCAAGTCGTCGACGTACATGAAGATGTAGAACGGCGGCAGCGAAGTGTCGGTGCGCAGAAACAGCGACGGGTCAGCAGTAGAAGGAGCAAACCCAAGAGCCGCAAGCGTAGTCCTCAGTGTGTCGTGCCACTCACGGGGCGCCTGGCGGAGACCGTAGACTGGCCGCCGGAGGCTCCACTGGGTACCAGGAGGAAATGACCCAGTGAAGCCAGGTGTGCAGTGCAGCCAGATCTCCTGGTGCAGGCTGCCCTGTAGGAAAGCAGTGCTGAAGTCAAGAGAGTGAAGCTCGTAGTCACGCTGAGCAGCGACGTGCAGCAGAACCCGAAGAGTGGTCATCTTCTGGGTCGGGGAGAAGGTGTGGAAGAAGTCAACTCCCTGTCGCTGACTGAAGCCTCGAGCAACTTAACGCGCCTTGAAGACAGGCGGAGAACCCGGCGACCGCTTCACCCTGAAAATCCACATGCCACTGACGATGTTCGCCCCAGGAGGGGGAACCTCGTGGACGTAAGTGCTTGTGGACTTCCAGGATGCCATCTCTGCGTCCATGGCTGACTGCCACTGAGAGGAGTAGGGACCCTCTATTGCCTCTGCGTAAGAGCGCGGGGTCGGGATGTCTGGTGCATCCGGGTCTCCCTCAGGTGCAATCAGCATGGACACGAGATGAGGTACAGCGGCTGCAAAGCACTCAAAGTCCTCCTGCCTGTCCTCAAGGACGTCCGTGCCAAGAGCACACTCACCCCCGACGGACGGAGGACAGACAGACTCAGACTCAGCAACAAGACTAGTGGCGTAGTCGAGACGACAATGAGCAGCAAAGTCGACAAGCTCAGCAACTAAGGCAGACGCAACAGTGGACTCAAAGGAAGGGTCAGTGACAACAGTGGCCAGGAGACACGTGACAGTAGGACTAGCAGCACGAAGTGAGTCAGACTCTGGGTCAGAAGGGGCAGGAAGAGAGGACGCAGGAGGAGACGACAGAGGGACACGCTGTGGAGCAGTGGAAGGGCGCAGTGCCATCCAGTGCATGCCAGGGACAGGAGGAGGACGCTGACGTGAACCACGACGACTTGTGCTAGCAGCACGAACAGGCGACGCAGGACGAGACGCAGGCTCACGACGCTCAGCAGGACCTCCGGTCGGACCAGTGTAAGGAGAAGGAGCAGGCAGTGGGGAGGCGGGCTGTAACTGTGACTGCGACTGGACACGCGGTGGACACCCTAAGGAAGTAGCAGGACCAGTAGAAGGCGGAAGACCAAGAACCTGCTGAAGGAGCGGAACGTAGTACGGCCGCAGCCGCGCAGCGCCTCCAGAACCAGCAGGGACAGAACCAGCACCCCAAGTGGCAGCTCCAACTCCAGCAGTACCACCAGCTCCAGCAGCACCTCCAGCAGCACCAGAAGCGCCAACTCCAGCACCCACAGGAGCACGGGCTCCAGCAGCACCTCCAGCTCCAGCACCTCCAGCAGCTCCAGCTTTAGCAGGACCACCAGAAGCCCCAGCAGCGCCAGCAGCTCCAGCTCTAGTACCTCCAGCAGCACCTGCCCCAGCAGCACCGCCAGCTCCAGCTCCACCAGCACCACCAGGACCAGCAGCTCCAGTACCTCCAGTACGAGCACCTCCGGGACCCGTGGCCCCAGAACCCCCAGCAGCTCCAGCAGTAGCAGGACCTCCAGCAGCAGCAGGGCCTCCAGCACTCGGAGAACCACCAGCTCCAGCAGCACGGCTCCAGCGCCGAGCAAACCACTCGCGCAGCTGCTGTGGAGAGAGTGGCTCCCGCCGGGACGAAGCACCCGAAGGACCTCCAGGCTCAGCACCGCCAGACTCCACACGAGCAGGCCCAGCACCCTCAGGCTCCGCACCCCCAGACCCAGCAACCCCAGGCTCAGCACCCCCAGACACAGCACCCCCAGGCTCAGCACCCCCAGACTCAGCACCCCCAGGCTCAGCACCCCCAGACTCAGCACCCCCAGGCTCAGCACCCCCAGACTCAGCACCCCTAGGCTCCGCACGCTCAGGCTCAGCACCCCCAGACCCAGCACCCGCAGGCTCAGTACCCCAAGCAGCACCAGAGTCAACAGCTACCTCGACAGGCTCGACTGCGTCTACCTGGGACACACCTGAGGGGGCAGGACCCTGAGGGGGTAGGGGGTCTACCGGGGGAGGACCTAGCGCGAGGAACAGCGGCAGGGGGGGGGAGGGGGGCAGTGCGGTAGGGGAAGAGACGGTAGTAAGGAAACGACTTGTCAAACGTGATGTCCTGAGAGGACAGAACACGGCGCGAGGTGGGGTGGTAAAACTGCCAACAAGGCGCGTCCGGGGGGAAGCCAAGGAAGACGCAGGGAACAGCACGGGAGGACAGCTTGTCCGCAGACAATTCGCGGACGAAAGCTCAAGATCCCCAGACATGGAACGCAGACGCATCGCCAACCTTCCCCGTCCACCGCAGAGTAGGTGTGGTCTCCGGCATGGAGACCCGGGGCTGAAGGTTGAGCTGATGCGCCGCGTACTGAGCCGCGAATGGCCACAGAAAA